TCGGGGTACATATTTAAGGATTTTTTACCGGTTTTTAAATAATTTCAGAAATTTCGGTTTAAAATTTAACTTTGGGACGTGGCATTGTCATTTACATTGTTAAAGAATTTACTTTTATAGAATAGTATAAATTGAAAAAATGGTTCTATTGCACTATTGGCTCTATCTTTTAAAAAAAAATTGAACATTAATTATTATACTAGTTCAAGAGAAAAGCGTACTGAAAGTTGATATTATCCGCAGTAAATTCAGATTTTCATTAATGTTTGATTTACTAGTATTTTGAACACCATAACGCAGTGTTGTACGTGGACGCTGTCCCGCCAAAATTGCGCGGACGCGAACAGTTCCGGACAGTGTCTCATGTCCTGGACAATGTCCCATGTCCGTGATAGTTGTTCCATGTCATATGGTTTATCGAACAACCTGATTGACTAACACAGCTATCTTTAATTGTTCGGGACGAAAAAATTTGGCAGACTGTCTGCTGTCCGCGTCCGTGTCCCATGACAACACTGCCATAACGTAACCTGGCTATCCATATTTAGCTTAACCTTCCTCAGTAGGTATAATACTTTAATCAATGAAATGCCTTCTAGCAAGGCGCAGAAAATTTTCAATTGAAAATATATAAAAGATAACCTCTGTGAGTAAAGTGAGACCCTATTCGTCCAATATGGCAATGTTGGCTAATTATTCTGAATCGTTTTCTTCAGTGCATTTTAGAGCGAAATCATATGCTAAAAACGTTATGGAGGCAACCGACAAAGAAAAACTTTGGTGGGTTGAAGGAACTTATCTGTCTATTAGAGGTGAAAGGTAAGCTGGAACATAATGAGGGCCACTGTAGTTTTTCCAATTGCCCATGTTAAGGTTCGATTTGTTTCATTAGGCTTCCTTTGGTTCTTGCAAGAGATGTATCATTCGAGGAGTTTGCCAAGAAATCTGAAAGTGCCAAGGCGGGAAGATTTTGGGACTATGATAAGGGCATTGTGACGATTATTGAGTTGCCATTTGGTGACCATGAAGGTGCAATACGCGAATTCGATCACCAAATTTATGATCAATTAAATAGAAATGCAGCATCTCAGGATAAAATTAGGGCTTGGGGAGCAAAAAGTAGGTCCTGATGTTTTAGTTTTTGCATGTATCTTGTTATACCGAACTTAATTACGTTGAATTCAGATTTATACGACCTGGCGACAGGAGAGTACAAACTACCCGATTCTTGTTTTGTACCTCGACGTCTGCTAAATTTGCCAAACCCAGTGCCTAATCCATGTGATCGTAATGTATGTCATTTGAATATGATTGTTTGGATATAAAAATATGTATTTGATATTAATCTGTAAACTTTAGGGAAACCCATGGCCAACTGTTATCCTCGAGGTTGTTTCCTTTGAAACGCTTGAACACGTGAGGGACAAGATCAACAACTTTTGGCTAAGTCCAAACTGTTGCGAGGATGTGATTGTCGTTAAACTGGGCAATTGGAACAACAATCGCCGTAATCAGAATGGACAACCTTTGCGTCGTTTGCGAGTTCAATATTGTTCTGTAATTTATGTGATTTTTCTTGCTCTTTCTATTTAATCATTCATTTTTATTTCCGATAGTGTTTGAAATTCTGTAGACGTACAACTCTTCAACTAGACCAAAATGCTACGACATTTGATCCAATTCAAGAGGTAAATATCATAGAATTTTGCGAATGACCTTTTTTTTCACCTGTTTACTCATATTTAAAAATAGTAGATTGAGTTTGGAACAGTTGACGCAAACGGAAGGGTTAGTAATTTTTGCTCGGCCCCTCAAACGAAATGGCTTACAATTGACCGTGATTGCATTTTTGCGGGATGTGCTCCTCCTCTCCCTCCTCTTCCGGTTCTTTCTCAAACTTCTGAGCCTGGAGTTGCCATCGATTTATATGAAATACAACAGGCGATTTTTGATGCTATGGGTAGATATTGATACAAGTAAATTTATTCATGAAAAGTTATATCGAAAAGTTCTATAATTGTATATAGTTCATAATATATACTGTACAACTTTTATTTCGGTATTGATTTGGGAAATATACAAAATAAAGCTTTTAAGTATCTGAAATTTTACTATTGTTCGAAAAAATACCAGAAAACTGCATGTCGAGGCATTACAAATTTATGTTACATTGAATCCTATTAATTTATAATCTTGACTAGTAATTTGAACTGGTTGGACTATAATCGGTTAACTGACCCTATTAAGTAAATTCTTAATCGGTTAACCCATACAACCGTTGAGTATCAGTAATCGGTTGACAGTAGGGTTGCGACCCAAACTTACTAGTTTGGGATTAGGTAAAAACCCAAATAGTATTACTAGGTTTCGCAAAAATGCTTCTGATTTACCGTAATGTCAAACACTTTTGACATGTAATGTATATTACGGTTAAAAATCCCAAATTTTTACATATAAAAAATTGGGTTTGGGATTCATTTCTGTAAGGGGGAGAGCCAGAAAACACATGTTTTTTATTTTGTCAAAATTAACCTCTTTCCTCTAAGATATAGACATTTCTTTTTACAGAGACCTCTCTCCACTAAAGAAAACACGTGTTCTCTGGCTCTCCTAAAGGTCAAATCAAATGTCACACTTTAATTAATATCGCGGATTATGGTGAGATTTGGACCTATTTTAATATGAAATTTTAAAATTTTTTGGGATGTATTTTCTTGGCATTTAGGATTAGATTTATTGTTTGGTAATTATTATATGTTATAACGTTAACATTATAGTTTTTTATAACTTTGATAAGGGGCGTAAGGCTTTTATATTTAACAGGCAACTTTTAATATTTACTTTTCGTCCTGGAAGGCGATGATCGCTAATCTATATGTTCTTTACCACCTGCACACTGCCACCTAATTTTTCTCTGATTCGCGTTTGTTTACATCCACCGATTTTTCATTGTCTGTTCTGCCCCACATATTTCATTACGTCACAATGCTTTCAAAAAGCAATTCTTGATTGGTGGGCACAGATTTCCTGAACTACGAATTAGATTTCAAGATCAGATGTAATGTAACACGATCAAGAAAATTCAAAAAAAACGTTCGTTTTGTCAAAAATCGCCTATTTCTCGAAAATTTGCATAAGAAACCGCATTTAGTGCTCTAATAAAAAAGTTTTCAGTGGGCAATTTTACTAGATAAACTACTAACTTATAACTATAATGTAAGCAATAAGCATAACATAAACGAACTTTAAAGAACTTTACTGCGCCACTAACCTGGCACACATTCTAGAATTGCTTTCAAAAATTTTGGGTTCAATTCTAAAATACAGTACTTTAAAATTTGTATAAATTACTTACTATGCTTCGAATAATAATTTATAAGCAAAATGAAAGTTTACTTTGCGACGGCCACTTGGGCGGCAATTTTACTCTGAAGTGAACTTGTTTGTCATTGTTATGAAAAGACATTATCCTTCAAAGATTCATGTTGGGAAGTGGTTCTTTGATGTGTTTTGCTTATCATTGTAATGAAAAGACCAGTATGACTGCCACTTGGGCGGTGAACAAACTGAGTTCTTTGGCTTTTCCGCTAATACCTGTTTATTTTACTTTAACATTTATTGTTTTTAAAATAGTGTTTTTTTTTTTTAGATAAATATTAGATGATATGTTGATGTTTTAAGTTGTTTACAAAAATATATCTTAGAAATTTTTATGATTTTTTATCAACTTTTTATTATTATGTTCTTGAGTTTACTTTTTAATAAAAAAGTTAGTCATATATTTATTTGATCTAATGACCGAAAGACTTGGTTTATTAGTCGAATCCTAAGCAGAAGACCTGGTTATTTTCCAACATTGACATACAAAAATTTATTTTTAATTAATAATATATCATTATGTTACATTATGCAAAATTTAATTATTTATTTTTATTATATCATTTGATTAAAAAATTCGATGTTAAATTTTAAAGATTTGTCAATATTTAATTTAGTCTAGTATTTGAGTTGCTTGACTTTGCTGAGCCCTAGCAGTTTTTAAACCTTAAATGACAACTACTTAACCAAATTGATGAAGATTTTTTATTTTAATTCTGCAGATATATAAAAAAAATTATTAAAATTTGACTAGAGAAAATCTCATTCGAAGTTTGAGAAATTTATTTAGTATATAACAAATATAAATTTCTCATAAACAACTACCTAATCTAATTCGATGAATTTTTTTATATTAATTCTATGCAAAAATACTATTCCTGATGGACCGTCGGTACTGTTCCTGATGGGATAGAAAAAAAAATCAATTTACGTACGTACCTTTCCTGATAGGGTTCTTAAAAGTTATAAAAGGCTTAGTTATAATAAGGATGCCAGAGTCTTGACTCTTGATTGATCCATAATGTTGACCTCAATATAAACCTAATAATTTACCTTAATATTGATCCTTATCTAAATTTTATGCTAAAACTTTATTATGATCGAAAATAATTGCAGTTATTTAACAATCTATTATTGTTTCTAGAATATTGATCTTTCAATTGAATTGGGCAGTTATTATATTGGGCTTCAATTTTTGCGCATGATTGTATACTTCGATAGTAATATGTTTTTAGGGTCCTATCAGGAACGGTACGTAAATTGATTTTTTTTCCATCAGGAACAGTACCGACGATCCATCCATCATAGTTAGGTAGTTGTCTAGAAAACTTCGCTCAAAGTTTGACAAAGTTATCTCGCCTACAAGGAAGCGGTGTTTAAACTTTTTAAAATTTGAACAAAGTTTTTTCGACAACTATTTAATAAAATTCGATGAAGTTTTTTTTTATTTTATTTTAATTCAGCAGACAGCAGACATGTAGAATTAACAAAAATACTATTCTAAAAAAAAATTTTATTTTAATTCTACATGGTTGTAAAAAAAACTTCATCGAATTTAGTTAGGTAGTTGTCGAGAAAAATTTGCTTAAATTTTTAAAAAAAATTAATCTTCTCAAATTCGAATGAATTTTTCTCAACAATCGCTTAACCAAATGTTTTATTGGATTTATTTATGTAATTGTCGTGCTATCTTCGCCAATCACAATGAATGTTCGATTGCAGATCAGTGAAAATCTTGATATAAACATCATTTTTAGTATCGAGTCCGTTGACTTCTAATATGGGTAAGTCTTCTTCATTCTAATTTCATAATTTTAACGTTGTCTAATTATTTATCTAAATTATAGCAGAAAGTTTCAATGATTTTTTGGCAGGTATTAAAAATTAAGGAACTATTTTTTTTTAAAAAAATTTGATTTTAAGTATAATACTTATTTTGTAGGATATGTCAGTGGTGTAATGGGATTAATTGTTGGAAGCCCTTTAGATGTTCTAAAGGTAAAGTTAATATTTTGGATCAATGCTCTATTTATATTTTAAAATTAAGAATATGTATTTTAGGTACGATTACAAACAATGCAATCCGATTCTCCATCAAACACACTTTATAAGTCATCAACCTTGAAAAATTTGATGAAAATGAAACAAACGGAAGGGGTATATTAAATTTCAATCTAATGGGGAAATTTTGTGTGAGTTAGGAATATTTATTTAACTATCTTCATTGAATGTATTAAAGTTCAAATCATTTTTTAAAGGTGTTGGTTCGCCGATAATAGGTCTCGCATTCTTAAACTCAATATTATTTACCTCTTATGGAAGTATTTTACGTTTATTTGAAAAAATTGATAAGTCATCACAGAGGATACCATCTTTAGCTCAGGTGTATGTAGCTGGTTTTGGTTCTGGCATTGCATGTTTTATTGTTAGCACACCAACAGAGTTGGTTAAATGTAGAGCTCAAGCTGTTAAGCAAAAAGATTTGACGATGACATCATCCACTACGTGGAATGTATTTAAAGATGTAATTCAGACAAGAGGAGTTAGAGGTAAATTAGATGGCTTATTCGTTTAAAAAAAAAAATTTTTTTAACGCAAGTACTTAATACAATTTAGGTCTTTATCAAGGCGGTCTTATAACAATAATTCGTGATGCTCCAGGTTATGGCGTTTATTTTTGGTAAATTCTTACAAATTATATGATAAAATTTGGTGAATAGTACTAATGAATTTATTACATTATTTAAGGACTTATGAAGTACTTAAGCGTTCAATGAACGTAACATCAGATAATTTTGATCGTAGTAATGGTCCGAAGTTACTTTTCTCTGGTGGAATGGCCGGCGTCCTCTCTTGGGCTAGCATTTATCCTTTAGGTTAGTGCTATCTTTTCAATATATAAGTCATTTGATTGAAAAAGCGACATCTTGAAGAATATTACCATATTATTTTTATATCGCGCTATAGCTATATAATCTATGGAATTAACCAATATATTATTTATGTCATTCAGATGTCATTAAATCACGCATACAAACACAACAACAACCTTTATCAAAATCTATCATGAACAAAACAGTGACATCATCATCTGTTTCATCTGCTTCTTATTCTGGCATTATTGAGTGTGCTACACGTTCTTATAGAAATGAAGGAATTTCTGTATTTTTTAAAGGAATTACGCCTACACTTGTAAGGGCTTTGCCAGTAAACGCAGTAACTTTTTATGTTTATGAAATTATGATTCACTGGTTGAATACTTTTCAAAATTAAAATTTTATTTTAGTTATTATATATTTTGAAGTTTATTCTCAGACAATTAAATATTGTATGTAAAAAAAAAAAAAAAAAAAAAAGAAAAGGAAAAATAGTTATTACTATATTTTGTAGAATAGTTTAAGATATAAATTCTATAAGAAATAATACTTGTCAGTGAAATTATCCACTGTAAAATAAACTGTTTATGAACGTCAGTAAATTAACTTGTCTGTTAAACTAATATTTCTATAAATAATTATCTATGAAGTGATGCAATCCTATTATATGGGAGTCTCTTAAGGATCCGTATGATGTAATTTCAACGACAATAACTTTACAGATACTTTTGGTTCATTGACGATTAATTCACTGACAAACTTATTTTACAGATAACATGCTCATCTTGCCGACAACTCATTTCAACAGACAGCTTATTTTACAGACAAGGTTATTTCTTATGAAATTTATAAATTCTATATTTAACGAATTGAAATCATAGCTATATTATTTCGTATCCAAAAGATTGTCTAAAGGTACCAATAGACAAACATTTTTGCAACTATATTTCTCATCATTCCGCAGCTTCACCCATTTTCATATTTGCAAAAATTATAATGCACCCATTTTTTTATTAAAGTATTCATAAACCCTAATGTGTAAAATGATTCCAAATTATATTGATATAAGATTTGAATCTTAATATAACTTGAACAAAAGGAATTTCTTATTTTTATTTTCAAATATTTTACTTTGATAAACCACGCTAAGATTTCTTAATTCTTCACGCAAGGTAGTAATTTATATAAAGTTGGTATCATCAAGTGCGAAATACATCTCTAAGTGTAATATGTACGTAATTAACAAATTAAAGCAAATTGTTAGTCAACTCTGAAAACAAACTAGAAAAAAATACATAGCGCACTAAATAAAGAGTAATTTTACCTATATATATATATCTACTAACACACTTATTACTAGTCTAAAATCTATGTTAATAATTGTATAATATACATGTTCTTCTGATATATGGAGCTAAAATAATTATTATTAAAACCCTAACATCAGTTTCAACGCGTCTGGTTTTACAGTATATTTGTGCAACAAAAATGTATTGTTTGTGCATTCAAACATACGCGTTTGTGTTAGGGACCTCAGTTTTATGCGATGCGATGCGATGCACATAATAGGCCAATTTTTAGCATAGTGGATGCCAAGCATAATCATAATTGGCGCCTGCTGATTGGTCAATTTTTATAGATTGTAAAAAATCAAATCGGCAATTTTTTTTTTTCAAAATTACTTCGAAATTTTTTTTTTGTTAAATTCCGTTAAATTTTTTGTAATAATTATAGTAACTGCTACAGAACGTCTTGCCAAAAACCCCACGTATAAATCGGATTTTTATGTTAGTGGTGGAAAACTTTTTTGTAAGTGTGTTAAGCTATAGTAAACTATGAAAAAAAGTTCACGATTGATAATCATTTAAAATCGGATGGGCATAGTGTTGTACATTTTCGATGTCCATAGCCTTTTTTGGCTTGTCCATGTCCATGTCCACGAATGTCCATACAAGATTGTGACTTAATAAAGCTTAGAAATTATACAAAAGATAACTAATTATATGTAAAATTAGATGTTAACTATTTTTACTTAATATACTAAAATAAGTTATCATAGTTAAATTTTAAGCTATTAAAGGTTTATTTTTTGTGTAACATGTCCATACTTTTGTCTACGCCTGTCCATGTACAACACTGGATGGGCATACATCTAACTCTAACCTGTATAATCAACTTTGCTTCAAGTTGAAATCAAGTCTTTTTAACAAAGTAATGATATTAAAAAAATATTTATTAAAGATTTTCTTCATATAATGTTTAAACTGATATACTTATTGAAAAGATAGTTTATTTTAATCCATTTTTAATAAAATATTACAAAAATAGTAAAAAAATAATTATATATAGTATATATAGTATATATTTTTAATTAAATTTCATTTATTTAATTAATATATTAAGGTTTGGTGATTTAGTATAGTGAATAGGTTGTTGGAACATTATGCAATAGGTTTAGAGTTCAAATCTCACTGTTAACAATTTAAATAATTTCTTAAACCTTGTATTTAACTTATAGTAAACTCTATTTGTTTCTGAAGTTGTAACTCTATAAATTATATTGTATTAATATTAATTAAATATTAGAAGTATAATGCAATATTTGGAAAGACATAACATTATATGAATAAATCTTGATAGGATTTACAGACAAAGAATCTGCATAGTAGAAATCTTGAGTTAGATGAAGTAATACAGATTTTAATAATTATATTAGTTAATACTTGATTTGGTGAAAAAGTCTGTATATGAAAGATATGATTGAATAGATATAAGTAAGTTTATTACATCTGAATAGCTATAAGAACTAAGATCATATAGCAATACTAATTTGGTTTGGTAGCTAATTAGATTTAGAAGAATCTGTCTTGTAAAATATCTAGAAATATAGAGAACTAACTAGATAGAGAGCTATAATAGAAACTAGATTTGTACAAATATCAAACAAGAGTATATACAAGCTAAATTAGAATATAGTATAGCATAGTTAAGTTCTATAATACCTATTGATTAGAAAGTTAATGATGAGATACTATGAGATAGGATCTAGATTTTGAATTATAAAGTTTGTAAACTAATATTAGCTTAGATGTTTTTCAGAATAAGATTAAGTAAACTTTAATAAAATAAGAATAGAATATGAGTAAGTATCATAGAGCCAAAGAGTTTAAATAAGTAATCTTTAAATAGATTTCAGGTATAGTAACTAGTATAGAACTTTCAAGTAGATTACTTAAATTAGACAATCTAAAATTATATATATAGCTAGTTGTACTCTTACAATATATAATATTTTTTACTATTAATATTAATAAAAGTTTCAGCTAATAGTATAAGTATAAAGTAAAAAAAAAAAACTTTTAATAAATTTTATCTATTTTTAAAGTTATAATTCTATAATCAAGTTATATCAAATTAATCAGATATTAGAAGTATAATATAATATTATATAAATAAATCTTAATAGAATCTATAAATAGAAAACTTGTATAATAAAAATTCTAAATAAGTAAAATAATATAATCTTTAATAGTTATATTAGTAAAATCTAAAATTTAAAAAAAAACTTAATGACTAAAGTTGTATGTGTAATTTCTTGTATACTCTTTATATAATTACAAATAGTAAAGATTATTAATATATAATCCTTGATTTTAAACCTATTAATCAACAAATTTTTAATACAACATGGAAAAATTGCTATGAATCTATTAATTCAATCAACACATCTCACTATGACAATACTCTCAATACTATTACAACTGAAGAAATTATTCAAACTCTTCAAAACCTTCCTAACAACAAAGCATGTGGTCC